GATTCTAGCAACTTGGAATTCATCCTGATGATCGTCATAAGACTGTTTTCTACATTCCCAATCAACATTACCAGTGGACGATCATACCTTTTGGACTTAAGGTCGCTCCTTCTCTGTTTCAGAAAGCCATGACGAAGATTTTTGCTCCTCTTCTTCATACATATCTCATTTATATCGATGATATCCTTCTCTTTTCAAAAGATGAGGAATCTCATATACGTCTTCTTCGTGACTTTGTTGATATCATATACACTTATGGTATTATGCTCTCTGAGAAGAAAATACAGTTAGGGTAGACAAAGATTGATTTTCTTGGTATGGTGATTGCTAACGGCAAGTATGATCTTCAGCCTCATATTGCTAATGAGTTGTAAAAATTCCCAGATGTTCTCACAACCAATAAAGAAATACAACAATTATTGAGAATTGTCAATTACATACGCAGTTTTATTCCCAACATTTATCGTCTCACTACTCCACTTTCCCAGATGCTTAAGAAGAATCCTCCTTCGTGGTCTGAAAAGTAAACAAATGTAGTCAAGAGTCTTAAACGCAACGATCAGTCGAAATCATGGTCAATGCCCTCCTTTTATCCCACATACACTTACACCCACATTATTTCTAACATTATCTAAACGGACTAGTGAAAATTAAATACACCAAGAATATAAATAAAGGACATATATATTAAAGATATAAAAGAACATAAATGGAAATTTTAATAGAAAAAGTTAATGTAAATAAAAAATAATATAATTCAACTAACCCGAGATACTATATTTCATCGGTTGCCACGTTTCGCAGTGGGCCGGCACGTAAGTTGGGACACAGAGTCAGCCATTTCCCAAGTAACCGCCAAAAATGACAGCCGGTGCCCTACGCGACCCACAATCTTCTCAACACATGGCGCCACGTGTCTTGTTTCAACACATTGTTTTCAATACAAGGTGCTGCGTCAACTAAGAAACTTCCAAAGTCTATGAACTGGCCGTCACGTATCGTTGAAAAAGATGAAAAGCCCGTTTGCTCAACGTCCAAGAAATCCATTTACTAAATAGGACCCAATGATTCGATTAATTACCAAACTGACCTTGCCACCTTGAAATGCCATCGTTGAATCACTTTCAGTTGTGTCATCATTTATTGTAAGGTGGCACAACATTTTTCTCACTTTTTTGGTTTCTATTTTTTCTTTTTTCTTTATTTAATCACTTTAATTGTTGTAATTAAGCTTAATATTTTTTTCATTTTAAATTTTTATTGAATTCCATTTCTTACTTATGAGTTGATATTCTTGAAAATAAAATTTAATTAATTTTTTTTGTAATTATTATATATTTATATATTGATTTTTTTTCTTCTCCTCCACTACATTAATGGAGAAAACAATTTGAAAACACAGTTACATTGCTTTAAAAGGAGATAAAGAAATTAGTTAATTTTGAATTATCACCAATTCAAAAATTGAAATTAATTAATGTCGAATCAACAGAGGTAGCGATCATTATAAGTGTCATATATTTAACTATTCGTCATTGTTGTGTCTTTATTTGCTATCAAATTTTAATTAGCCTTTCAAAAATATGCAAATATCTATCATTAGAATAAGATACTTGTTTATTAACCATCTATGGGTGGTTGGATAGGGAGATAGAGACTCTTGGGTGTATTATTTAAGAGATCTTAAGTTCGATTATTCTCAATTGCTAATAAGAATAGCGACAACTGAAAGGTTTATCCGATCGTTAATTTCAGGATCCTAAGGATTAGTCTAGATGCAAGCAAACAAGGTTGAGCACCTCAATCACCAAAAAAAAAAAAAAAAAAAAAAACTTGCTTATTAGGTCTTTATATATTAATAGGGACTTATAAACAAAACTACTACATAAATAATTATTTATATTAAACTGATAATAATAATAATAAATGAATAAACTTATTAGGTCCATGGCCGATAATGGCGAGGGATCTAGCCGTTAGCGGCCAGATCCATCGATCTGGCCATATCAAAGCCTCCTGGAGTCTCCCACCGAGTCTCCTTCTTTTTTAGGGACTCTGGTGATTTTTTGGCAGTGGCCCATGGTGGTTAGCCGCTGTCGACGGTGGTGGCTAGGTGGCAATGGTGGTGGTGGCTGGGTGGCAATGGTGGTCTGTAAATTATTTTAAATATAAATGTATTATTGTCCAAAATTTTAATTAAATAGGGATAAAATTGAAATAGGATATTAATGTAAATTTGTTTTAAAGTAAGGGTATTATTGTCCAAATTTTTTATTAATAAGGGATAAAATTATAACAAAAAAAAAAGATAACCCTAATAATCTCAAAATACCTAAGAAAATGGAGGTAATCAGATTACCTCCAATATTACTAATGATAATCATTACTGACATTTAAATATTACCGATATCTTATATTATTTGACAACCAAACATGGTTATCAAATAATATAAGATATTATTACCCTAATAATCCTCTATAATCCCAAACCAAACACCCCCAAAATTTAAATCTAAAAACTCACTAAAATTATCAAAACATCTCGATCGCCGCAAACCTTAGGTTACTGATTTTGATTTTGATAATGTGAATTTAGTAAAAAAATAGAGGGTAGTTTGGTAAAATAAAAAATGGGTAATCAGACAGATACAACAGCAGAATCTGACAGTTGATCTGTAAAATACTAAAATTTATCTACTTTAGTTTAAAACGGACCCCACAACATAGTAAAAATTTAATACGTGGCACTTCATTATGCGCCCAGCAAATCTCTTATAAATGACGCCTTATGCACTGTGCTTCCATAAAACCTATCGACTCTTATCTCACCCCCCATTAAGGAGCGTGCATTACATGATAAAAGATAGTACTATCTGTAATAAGGAAGATTTTGTCATTTATATATATTTTATTAATTACCATCATAATTTAAAATTTCTTTAAAAAAAAAATTTCTATAAAAGTGTGATGCTATGTTCACCTTAACTAGAAGAAGGAAGTGTGAATTTAGTAAACATTAAAAATGAAAAAATTTGTAATTATAATTATATAACTATATCAATTTTCTATTATTGTGAAATATTTATATAATTAGGAAAAGATCCAAATTACAAAAATATAATGAGTGGCATTACACATCCTTAAAATTTTGCGTCATTTTAACCTTATTATGTGCAAATATTATGCATTTATAAAGTATTTGTTGTTAATATCATTTTCTCAAGAAAAATATTATGTTTGCAATTCAATCTCACAATCTTCTCTTACAACCTTAACGTGATACCAAAGTCACGTCAACTCCCACCACATCCTAAATACTAAATGTTTTTACTAGGAACGATTGTTCATTTCTTTATAAAGAATTATTGTTTCTTATGAATGAACGATTATTCTTTATGAAGAAACGACTACTCCTTATAAAGGAATGACCATATCTTAAGAAAATAAGGAACGATCGTTTCGTAAGAAATGAATGGCCGCTCTATAAGTAAGGAACGACCATTCATTCAATAAGGAATGGATGTTCACTATGAAAGAACGGTCGTTTTTAAGATCTTATAAAATCATTTTGTGTCTTGGGTGTGATGGAGCTGACATGATAGTGTCAATTCAGCTGCCACGTCAGAGTTGTAAATGAAGTTTTTGAGAATAAGTTGTGGATATAGTATTATTCTTTTCTCAAAATATGTTTTAGATATGTTATTAAATTTTTAAAATATGGCACTAATTTTTATTCTTTATAAAGTAATTAACGTTAACAGTTTTACAATACTACAATACTAACATATTTTTCACTTATACTGTATTATCCAGCTGTTATAAATTCACATAAATCAACCCTTTGCAATTCAGGTTTGTAAGCTACTAAGTTGGATAAAAATAAACTCCTTTTTCTAACCCATTAAAATTACAAAATATCAATAATAATCATTTATATATTAATAATTTAACATTTAAAAAATCAAGTCATAAGAACATAATTTTATATTAAAGAGAATACAATAACTTCTTAGGGAATTATGTATACAAATACAATCAAATTAAATGCGTACAATAATGTATGTATAACATTACTTTTTACGTGATTATAGATAAAACATTAAAAATCCTAATATGGATAAAACTATAAACCTTTTTCTCTTCTAACCCCACTTTATTTTATTCTTTGATTTATTTTCTTATGTTAATATATATATTTAAAGAGTAAACGACTTTTTTCCACCCAAGGTTTGCTTTAATGACACTTTTTTACCCAAAAAGTTTTAAAATACCATTTTTCCACCCAAAGCTTATATTCTGACTAATCGTTGATCAATTCCGACATTTTTACGACCTCAAATCATCACAATTCTCTTCCTCAATCATCACTCACCAAAACCCCTTAAACCTTGCTTTCAGCGACTCAGTCAATCGCTGACAATTGAACGATTTGTAAAATGCGTAGCTGCTCTTTCTAAGTCAAATTATGACCAATCCTAACCACCAAAATTCAACCTGTCACCACCAAAAGACTTAACAATATCCTCTCTTCAAAAACCTCAATAGTCTAAATCAAGTTTGCTCTCTTTGGATTGTCTAATCAAAAAATGTATTTTGATTAGTAAATAAAATATAAACTTTGGATAGAAAAATGATATTTTAAAACTTTTAAGTGGGAAAATGTGTCAAGGCAAACCTTGTGTAGGAAAATGTCGTTTACTCATATTTAAATTAGAATAATTTCATAAAAATATTAACTTGTTGGTCTGCTTTACACTCTCTACGCGCGCGTGAAGCCTAGCGCTACTAGGCCCACAGTTTTCTTTTCCTTTTCGGCCTTTCGCAACCCGAAAAGGAAATTCTAACCCGCGACTAGTAGTAGTCTCTCTCAATAACCAGCGAAACCCCCTTACTCATAACCACCCCTCCAACTTCCACAAATTACAATCAACCCACCGCTTCTCCCTCTCCCCACCTATATATACCCTCCCTTCATTTCCGTTAGGTTTGCCAAAATCAGTCTCCAAAGCCGCACTTCAAGAAAAAAAAAAAAAGTACAAAAAAACTCATACTGAGTGTGCTTAAATCAAAATGGCGACGTCAACGTCATCAAGGAACAAATCGAACGGTCCAGATCTTCACACCTTTCGCAGACCACAACTCTCCTCCTCCTTCGCTTCTTCAACCGCTTCAAGTTTCTCCTCTTGCTCCTCCTCCACGTTCTTCGCACGTGCCACTTCTCCCACACGTGTCAGTCTGTATGGATACAGCCACTCCAATCACAACGACCACCGCGTGTCACATCGATCCTCTTCGTCGGTTCGGTTTTCTCTCGACAACCGTCCGATCTCTCCCAACCGGTCGATCTCATTCACCAGGCAGACCGTCACAAACAACGGCAATGCGAAGGCGTTCAACACTCCTAAGAGGACCTGCGCTTGCTCGCCGACGACGCACCCTGGCTCTTTCCGGTGCGCTCTTCATAAGAGAGCGAACAACTATCAGAATCACAAAACGATGTCCTCTCCGTCATACCACTCCAGTAGTCGGCTGAACTATAGGAGATCAGCGATGACGAACTCGCTTGTGAGAATCGGAGGAGTGGAAGGAGAGTTGGTGAAAAGAGCATTGTCCGCTCTAATAAGGCCGTCATCTCACCACCAGCGCCGCCGAGCCGCTTTTCAGCCGAGACCGAGTCGGTTCTACATCATGTCAAAAGCCGAAAATTCAGAAAATTTATGAATGTTTGAGCGGGATTTGAGTTTTTGCTAAATGTTTAGTGAACGAGGGAGACGAGTTGACTCAGTGCTATAGCTGTAAAGCCGAATCACTTTTGTTTTGTTTTTTTAATTTTTAAATCTTAATTTGAGTTGTTTTAGGTAATATTTGTTAGGAAGAGAGCGGTTTTTGGTGTAAAGAGAAGAAAAATATTATATTAAATTTTTGGGAATTAAAATTGTACAGTGAAAGAAATTAATCAACGTTTTATTCTTTTATTTAAATTCTGTGCGTCAGATCACAGACGGATGGCGTGACTTTTGGTGCTTTTGAAATTTTGGTTTTGGGGGCCATCAGATTTTTTCTCGTAAATTAGTACTATTAAAAGTTGTGTCATGTAATCAACCAGTCCGTTGCGTTTTGATATCTTATTATATACATTGGAAAAAATGAAATTATTGAAAGCAATAAAATTTTAATTTTGTATTTAGATATTGACATGATACGATCGGAAGTTTTCTAATTACGAGTATCACCGGTGTAAAGGACTTTTTCCCACAATCACTTCTTCCCTTACAAACTTTTAAAATATTATTTTATTATCTAAATTCATATTTTAATGAATAAAAAGTAATTTCGGTTTAAACTATTAGGGTTTTAAAGAAAGAGACCAATGAGTCTTATGATAAAATATTAGATTTTAATGGTTAAAATTGATCAAATTAGAGAAGGTTGTGCAAACTCCAATCTTTCGATTTTAGTAGGGCTGACAGAAGTAAGGTTTGAAGGATTTTGATAAGTGATGATAAAAAAAAAGAATGGTAATTGTGTGGGATTGCAATGATGCCGGAATCAGAAATAGAATACAAATTTGGGTAATAAAATGATATTTTAAAGGTTTGTAAACGGAAAAATATCATTAAACCATTATTTGGGTGAGAAAAAGACGTTTACTCTTATCATTATCATCATTAAATGTTGGACTAAAATAATATTATAGAGATAAACAACTATAACTCAAAAAAAAAAAAAAAAAAAAAAACACAAAAGGATGAGACATATTATCTTTACGTGATTCCAATTCTCGTTCAAATATGGTAAAGTTAAAAAAGATAGGATAAGATAAGCAATTAAATTTTGCTAAAAAGTAGATTCACAGATTTCAGATGGTTTATGTGAATTATATAGTGGGGGTCGTAAATGTTATGCTATTTTCTTTTTTGTATTGTTCATCAAGAACACGTGGAAGTTTATGAGCTTTCGAGTTTGTTTGAATTGACCCGTAGTAGTGGTACAGGTAGACTTGATTGGGTCAAAAGAAGGTTTCTATTGTATTTGTTTTTATATATCAATTGGGTCAATTTTGTTGACTAATCAAATTGTATCTTGTGGTTGTGGGAAATTCCCATTAAATTAAGAAAAAGTGATGGAAGTTACCTTGGACCTTGGAGAAAAGCATGGTTTGAATCTGATGATTGAATTTTCTTAGCAAAGTAGAAAAAAAAGTAATAGAATTAGTCAATAAAATGAGAATTGAAAGTGGTCTACGGCATAACATAAATTGAAATTGGAGCCTTTGACAATTTATGGGCTCGATGAAGATGAAGACTACTTCGATACACTCACCAGAATCTGTGTTTGTATTTATGTTGTTAATAATATATTAGGGAAGGCAGAAAACACCCAAAAAAAAAAAGGGCGAATGACTTGTACATACCCAAAGTTTACTGTAATGACAAGTTGATACCCAAAAGGTTTTGAAACGATAAATAGGTACCTTCCGTCATATTCTGTTAGTGAGTTTTGTTTATTAATAGTGAAAAGACTAAAATGCCCTTCAAAGTTTTAATTTTTGTTTTTTATAAATTTAAAAATTTCTAAAAAACCCCCTAGGTTTGCTAATTTAATTAAACACCCCCACATATAAAAAGTTTGTAAAATGACAAAAACACCCCCACCACCCCAATGCCAGATTCCGGCCACCATCGCCGGAATCTGGCCGGAAAACTGCATTACGACACAGATCCCCATCGGATCTGTGTCGTAAAGTGCCGATGTGGCCTTTTCAGGCCAGATCCGCCACGGATCTGGCCGGAAAAGGCCAGATCTGGCCGTCGAAGCAGCAGCCAGATCTGGCCTTTTCCGGCCAGATCCGTGGCTGATCTGGCCGGAAAAGGCCAGATCTACTGCCAGATCTGGCCGTCGACGCCGCAGATGGAGTTTTGCGGCGTCGACGGCCAGATCTAGCCGTAGATCTGGCCTTTTCCGGCCAGATCAGCCACGGATCTGGCCGGAAAAGGCCAGATCGAGGCGTTACGACACAGATCCGACGGGTCTGTGTCGTAACGCAACTTTCCGGCCAGATTCCGGCGGTGGTGGCCGGAATCTGGCACTTGCCGGTGGGGGGTGTTTTTGTTATTTTATAAAACTTTTATATATTGGGGTATTTAGTGAAATTTGTAAACTTAGGGGGTTTTTTGAAACTTTTAAATTTATAAAAAACTAAAATTTAAACTTTTAAGGGTATTTTAGTCTTTTCACTATTAATAAACAGTAATAAACAGAAATCACTAACAGAACATGACGGAAAGTACCTATTTGTCATTTCAAAACCTTTTGGGTACCAACTTGTCGTTACGATAAATCTTGGGTATGTATAAGTCGTTCTCCCAAAAAAAAACCTCACTTCCATATAGGGGTGCAGTAGGGATGGACACAAAGCCCGGCCCGCGGGGGTCTTGTCCCGACCTGGCTCAAACGGGACGGATTTTTTCCGAATCGTTCGGGCTTTGGGCCGGGTTTGAGCCTAAGATTAGCTTTGGAATTCGAGGATGGGCCAGGGCCGGGATAGGTCTTGCCCCGGCCCGGCCCGTATATATATATTTTAATAATTAAAAATCAATCATATATACCTATATTAATTTTAATATTTGAAAATTAATCATATATACCTACAATAATTTTAATATTTGAAAATCAATTATATATTATACAATGACAAATTATAATTGTGTAAGTATTTTATGAAACTATATATAAATAGGTAATAAATAAAACTACATTAAATATAATAAATCATTATAAATATTTGTAATATATATATATATATATATAGAGAGAGAGAGAGAGAGAGTAAAACTTCTATATAGTGATACTCTATATAGGAATAAACTCTATATAGTCATAAAAAATTATATTCACAATTTGGGATAATTATAAATAAGAATAAACTCCACATTGTAATAAGTTATAATTTTTTTAATTCTCGTCTTAAGGAAAGTTGCCTCCACATAGTAATAATTATTTGTATATTGCAAAAAAAACATATGCTATGTTACATTAAAGGTTTATGATCAAATAAAATATTTATCTAAAGTTGTTTATGACAATGATTTATGTTTTAGAGTTGTTACCAAATCTTCTAACTTGCGGGTATGTAATAACCCGCTAGCATGGACACCTTCTTGTTAAAGCCAAAATATTTCTAGCTTTTCAAGCATGTTTAGAGCTTCATGGCATGAAACTTTTTGCATTTCTGTACTATCATCCTCAGAATTATTTTATTTCTCTTCTTGTCTAATTGCAGCAATGATTTCTTCTTCAATTAAAACACATACGACTTGTTGCTCATTTGGATGGTCAAGGAAGACATTAATATCCATTCGATTAGTGTAGTAAAGTTGTCGAATCTAATCACTCAATTCTACAATGACTCTTTTATTCTCTTCATCCACTTCATTTGTAACTTGCAATTCATTGACATCGGGGGCCCTAATTTTGCAGTGCTTAAAACAATTGATAATTGTTTGTGGCTTCACATCAATTGACCATGTAGCAACTGCATTTACAACTCCATCAAGGATACTTATCTTTTCTGGTTCCAATACATGATCTTCTATCTGTTTCAAAAGTAAGCGATTAAAGTGCTGCCGATAATAACCTTTGAAATTTCTGATAATGCCTACATCACATGGCTAGATTTTGGAAGTGCTATCTGGTGGTAGGAACAGAACAGTTGTGTGATGAAGTGGGGGGAGATTCTCCTTTTTGCCATGTGCGGTACAATTATCCAATATAAGCAAGACATTTCTATCCAAACGGCTATCAAACCACTTAAGCCATTCCATAAAAAACAAAGATGTCATCCATGCATTTGAATTCGCTCGATACTTGCAATTGAGATTATCACGGTTAACATTATTAAAGCATCTTGGATTAAGAAACTTACCAATGACCCAAAGCGGAAGTTTGTCAGAGCCATTGCCATTGCAACAAATAACAATTGTAATCCTCTCTTTGTTTTGGTTTCGGCCCTCCAACTGCTTTGTTGCAAGAGAGCTATCGACTTGCATTCGATAAAATAAGCCAGTTTCATCCATATTATAAATGTCCTTCCAAGCCATTTGTCTAATTCCTCTCTTATTGATGGCAAACTAGCTTCAATTTTCTCCATATTAACTGAACCACTTTCCCCAAAACAACGAAAGGAATGAATTGCATGTCGTTGCTTGAACTTTTCCAACCATCCATTTGAAAATTCAAACAAGGTAGCTTCGGGATAGAGTTTCCTTAAAAAAATATTTCCCTTCTCTTTTAACAATTCACCATTCATATTGACATGCTCTTGATGGCATACAAACCATTCATAGAGGGCAGACTCCATTGCTGGGTACTTTACCATCTTTGAACGTTTTATGTTTGGGTTCAACAATCCTTCTTCTTGAAGGAGGTTAGTTGATCGTTTGAGTGTCTTAGATATTGCTGCTTGTGATACCTTAAGACCATGAGTATCTTCTAACCACTTCACAAGATCTTTCTACTTCCAACTAGGGTTTGATTCTTTCATTTTGCACAGCTCAACACGAATACTTTCGGTCAATTGAGTTCGTGTATTAACTTTGGGTGGCATGATTGATTTTCTAGAGGAAGAAGAAAGATATCACTTGAATTGGTGGAAGATTTTATTGAAAACTTGATTGAATAAGTTGAAACATAACAACCACTATTTATAGGATAACTAAATAAGAAATCCTAATACTACTACTAAAACAATGAATTGAAATCCTACTAATACTAAAACATGAATTGAAATCCTAATACTACCAAAATATGAATTTTAAAATAGGAAATCAAGTAATATTAAAAGTAAATAGGAAATCCTAATATTACCAAAACAATGAATTGAAATCCTAATACTACTAAAATATGAATTGAAATCCTAATACTATCAAAACATAAATTATAAAATAAGAAACAAG